GCTGTATTAGTCTCTCTATTGCTTATAACAAAATACGTGAAATGAAAATTCATTTCTTACAGTTCAGAGGCTAAGTCCACAGTCCAGGGGGGTCATCTGGTAGGGTCTTGTTCACAGGGTGTCACTCATGGTGGATGGTTGAGCAAGAGAGAGCTAAACTGCTCACTCAGTCTCCTTATAAAGCCATCAGAACCATGCCCATGACCACTTATTGAGCCATCAATGGATTGATTAATCCATTCACAAGGGTACACTCCTTAAAATCTAATAACCTCCTAAAGGCATTACCTTTCAATTACCATCATAGGGTTTCCCACCCTCTTAGCACTATTACAGCAGGGATTAAGTTTCCAATACATGAACACTTTGGGGAACACATTTAACTCATAGCAAAGGTCGAATAAAACCATGCCAAAACGGTAACATTCTCTTCATAGGGTTTCCCACCCTCTTAGCACTATTACAGCAGGGATTAAGTTTCCAATACATGAACATTTTGGGGAACACATTTAACTCATAGCAAAGGTCGAATAAAACCATGCCAAAACGGTAACATTCTCTTTTTGGACCGGTAAGGGGATTGCAACCCTCAGCACAGTGTGGTCTGCACCACGCTCAACCAGTGAGCGCACCGGCCATCCCTATATAAGATCCGAACCCGCGGCCTCAGCGCTCCCAGTGCCGCACTCTCCCGAGTGAGCCACGGGGCCGGCCCCAAAACAGTAACATTCTGTGAGGGTAGGGAAGAAGGAGATGAATAAGGTCATCTCTAAAACAGATGTGAAGTAACAAGTTACTCAAATGATAATCTCTCCTGGGGGTATAAGCACATGGAAGGATAGCTCTGCGTATTTCTCAGAATTCTTTGTGGTAATAATAACTACCATTCATGGGCATTTGATATCTGCAGCTGTCCTAAGAGTTTCAGGTACATGGTCACATTTAATACTCAAAAATCCTAAGAGGTACTATCATCCCTTGTTAGGAATAAGGAGACCAAGACTTAGAGGGTTCATCTTCCAGTGTAGTATTCTCAGAGGCAAGTCTGCACAATTGTGAGTCCCATGTTCTTAGCCAACACACCACTGCCTCAGTGGAACCACACTGTCCTTTTGAATTGCTTTGCACTGCACAGTCTCCTTTTCCACCTGAATTCTCATTCAGTCATCACAATCACATCCTCATGCTTGTTCATTTTCAGGTACAAGTCATCCCTGTTCCCAGGCAACATGGAGACACTGACAATCCTGAACAATTCCCCGCTGGTGGTGGAGGCATTCTTCTGTTTTCAGAATGATTTCAAAGCAACCACCTACTTCCTGGAGCCCACCAACATGATTCTGAAACCCAATGAGAAGCAGGTATAGTCACATGGAAACAAGTCACCAGGGCAAGGCTTTCTTGGCAAATTTGAGGCCTTGGCATCCTTAGGGTAAATGTACTTTCTTTTGACTCTTCCATCAGATGCTAAACGTATGGGCCTACCCTACTGCAGTTGGTGTCTTTGAAGACAGCATTGTCTGCTGCATCAAGGAGAACCCAGAGCCAGCCATCTTCAGATTAAGCTGCCAGGGGATCCGCCCAGAACTAGAGCTGGAACCCAAGCAATTACATTTTGACCGGCTCCTGCTGCACAGGTCAGAGCTCTAGATGGATGATGCCAGCACTGGAATGGAATTTAAAGAACATTTAGTTCTAGGTGGCCAGCTCATCCTGATTTATTCTGAACTTTCTTGGGTTTAGTATGGGAAGTTCTGCATCCTGGTCCTGTGCAAACCAGGATGATGGGTAACCCTATTTAGTTAATAGGTTGTTAACTTGGGTTCAGTGTGTAGGCTTCAGTAGGATTGTGGACCCCACCCTAAGATCAACTGCCAAAGTATGTGCATATTTGCACTTTTCTCTAGCTTTCTTCAGATTCTCAAAGTGGTTCATTAGCCTAAAGGTTTAGAGTCTTTGCTCTAGAAATTAAGAGTACAGAGAACATTTGACCAAAACTAGAGCTTACATATTCATTCATTGGAACTATTCTAAGTAGAAACTGTTTATTTCTGGGGCTACTGGAAGAGAATATTGCTGTGATATGTATCCTGCATTCCTTGATCATCACCAACAGACTCCATTCCCTGATAAATACTGATAAGTGAACTAAGTAATAATTGAAGTAACCAGAAGTGCTTTTTCTGACCTCCGTAGAAAGGTCCATATTAGAGATAACTATGACTGTCAAGCAGGTGTTCTGAGTTATAGAACCCTGTCTTGCCACTACATCTGTGACTTTGGGGCTATTAATAAATTTCTCTAAGCTTCAATTTCCTCATAGGTCACCTGTTTCACATTTAAAAGTGAAACTCATTCTACCAAAGTAACAAATTATTGTCAGGTAAATGCAGCTGACTACCTCGGTTTCTGCATATTTAAAAGTATGATTCTGGGCTGGCCCCTCGGCTCACTCGGGAGAGTGCAGCGCTAGCAGTGCCGAGGCCACGGGTTCGGATCCTATATAGGGATGGCCAGTGTGCTCACTGGCTGAGCGTGGTACAGACAACACCATGCCGAAGGTTGTGATCCCCTTACCGGTCAAAAAAAATACATTCATATTCAGAAACCAAATGACAATCTTAGTGATACTAGCTCTGAGTTAATTGTCTGCCAGCCACCTGGCCAGCCTGGTTCACTGTCTTGTCTGGAAATCCACTGTTAATGATTCTAGCTTTTCAAATTGCAGAACTCCTTTTTAAAGGCATGTTGCCTGTTTAAAGCTTAAAAGTTTACATTTGGCAGGAGTGCTTGGCTGCTAACTGAGAGCAAAGCTTTAAGAGAAAGGCAAGCAGATAGGACAGATGGGCAGTTTAGGACATCTGCTTCAAGCTAGGAGGCAGGAAAGAGAAAGTTGCTTTTTCTGCATAAGATCAGAGATACCTGGCTTTGATTCAACCCTATTCTGTGGGTATTTACTGTGTACCTGCTGGGTCACACAAGGTTGAGGGGACCATTCCAGCCCCTGAGAAGTTTGCAGTCTGGTGAGGAAAACAATCAAGCAGACAACTAAAAACCATCAATTACATAATGCAATCCAAACCATCTTAGGCAAATTAATGTTGAGTAATCACATTGTTGAGAAATTCACCCCAAGTTGACCAAAATTTTGGAATTAGCAGACACAAGGACATTAAATCATCTATTTTAAATATGCTTAAGCCCATAATAAAACATATGGTCAGGATAAATGAATAGACTGAGAATCTCATAAGAAAAATGGAAACTATAAAAAAAAACACTAAGTGAATATTTTAGAATTGAAAAGTACAATACCTGAAAGAAAAAGTTAACAGAATAAACTAATCAGCTGATTGGAGGCAACAAAAAAAGGATCAATGAGCTTGAAGATACATTGGAGTACCAGAAGGACAAGAGAGAGAGAACGGGGCAGAAAAAGTATTTGAAGAGTGAATGAAACTTTCCCAAATTGGGTGAAACCACATAAACTTACAGTTCCAAGAAGCTTAGAAATCCTTAAGCTTATTCAATACAGTTATAGCCCAAGTCTTGCACCTAAATCTGTGAGCTTAAGGCCACCTATTAACCTCTTTAAGCTTCCGTTTCATTATAGGTCACTTGTGGTTAATAATACCAACTCCATCTATTTTACATGATACGTTAATAGCCAAGAAAGAAAACCACACCAAAATTTGAGAGGCCCCAGTATGCTGAAATCCTCTTGGCTCACCCTGATGCACCAATGTCCCAGGTTTATGGAGCGCCACACCTACTGAGATTATTTGTAAGAATTGGAGCAATGTTGGCATATACGCCCCTTGATGAGAAGAGCCTTGCATTATTGTTGGGCTATTTGCATGATTTCTTAAAATATCTGGCAAAGAATTCCGCCTCTCTCTTTACTGCCACTGATTACAAAGTGGCTTCTGCTGAGTACCACCGCAAAGCCCTGTGAGGGTCTCCTGACCATTCACTGTTACATTTAGTATCTGTAAACATATTTGGTTCTTAAGTCTTTTTCTTGTACGATTGATGTTCTTTAAAATTGTTAATGTATAACAGGGCTTCTGTTTCAGTTTGTTTTCTGT